GTCCATAACTCTGGTGATGCTTTGGCTCCTCAGGACCAGTCAAAAGATCGTGCGTTGCTGAACCTCCTCCTTCGATGCCGCTGGAGGGATGCAGAGGTCCATCTTGACGGACATTGAGCAGCAACCGATGCGGAATGAGACCATAAGGCAGAATGTGCAGGGAGAGACCTGCTCCGGGATGTTGCAGCTCGACGGGGGCGAAGGGATCGATGGACGTCATGATGCAAGATGAGCTGGCGTGTGCGTGTGCGTGTGCCGTGTCAGTGCAGACGCAGACGCAGACGCAGGGCTGGAGCTGTGTGTCAATGTCGGGATTAGGCAAGCTGGAATCGACTGAGCGATGGGCTTGGGGATGGTCGTGGTTGGTGGTTGCGCAGCAAGCATTGTGAGATGTGCGGATATACCCACGTTGTCACTGTGCCACTCTTCTGACTGTTTCACTCGCGACTCTTCTGACTGCGTCTGCCCACATCGCAGCACAGCAGCACAGCGAGAGATGTCGAGGTAGATCACCGAGCGCATCAAACACGAGATTTGCGGGGGAATTTGTGTGCTTCGCCTGTGCGCGCGATCCGTCGAAGTCCGTGCACTCGCTCGCGGTCGCGGCGCGGCATAGCGGCATACATATACAGTACACCGGTAGCTACAGCTAGTACACTCATGACTGCACAGCATGCGTATACCGGCACACGCTGCGCGATCGAGTGTGTAGGTATATAAGCGCGGGGTCACTATGCGCGCGGACTTGCTCGTCTGCGCTGCCGGAAAAGTCGTGAGTCAGGAGACGATCTCCAGACACGAGTTTTTAAGTCTCGAGTCTGAGTGTGTGCCCTTAATCCATACCCCCACACTACTCCTCATCCACAACTCCAGCATGCTCTTGGCGGCGCATTCAATTCGCCAGTCGTAGCTTGCGACAAGATTTACACAGCGACTCGAACAAAGTCCGCATCATGCAAATCGCGCGCAATCTTGACCCCATCACAAAGCGCTCTCTGTGAGCTCGCTCATCACCTGTCTGAATGCTCAAAGCGAGCAAGTCGATTAGCGCTGCTGCTAGGCAGACGTGAC